ACATAGACCTTCCTTAAGTACTAAAGAGCGGTTACCACAATCAGCGGTATGATAGTCTACAGCTATAATATTGTAACTGGTTGCTATTAACAGAAGGGATCAAGGGATAGGCGCATGAAAAGAGTTCAGGATATAAATTGCTGTAAATTAGAAATAAATAGTCATAGCTACATTGCTGAATACAATATGAATTAAAAACAAAAAAAAATGATTGCTATGTTGATTATTTTTTTTATCATATTGAGGATCCCTAATCATAAACATTGTATTATAATTTGTCACGTGTACCCCAGTCTTTATGCATAATGCACGCTAAGCTACAAATCTAAATATACTAGACACATCCTGTAATTTTAGAAGACAGTCATACACCATCTTAAGATTTCACTATATAGAAGATATAGCAGAAATCCAGAGACACTGTTGACCTACGATTTTCGTACATCCACATTTTACTATCGTATCATCCTAGGAGTTTATAACCTCAATATTGTAGCTATGTTGATTAGTGACTGTTGCTATCACAACATTGTAACCATTGCAACGCATTGACTATGTTACTAGGGAAGTTCCTGACTTGGTTGACCAGACTAAACGCAGCATCTGAGTATTAGCCTATGGCACAATGGTAGTAACAAGCAGGCCGTTTTCCTCATGGGAAAGCCGCTCTGTGACACAAATGTATTGTAAAGGATAATTAAAGAAGACATTGCGTGAAGAGTAAATCTCTCTAATGCTGACCTTTTATATACAAGAGTAGAATCATAAGCCAGCCGGAATTAATTGTAATCAACTCTTGCCAATATCTTCGCGTTAATTACTGTGTTATTGTCCTTCTCCTCATGACTCTCTCATATATCCTTAAATGACTTTTTACATGACTAATTGTATAGGGAAAGCTATGATTAAATTGATGGTTTTAATTAACTACCCCTTCATCTTATCATGAATTAAAATTAGTATTAAAATTCTAATTACAGATCCGTGAAACGTTCATGGCGACTCATACATTGACCAGCCTCCCAATTATTTAGCATCAACAAGTGAATTGTGTCCTTCGCTTAGATGTAGTAATTAGGTTAAATAGTGCTCAGATACCAAGTGGGTCTAATCAACAACTCTCCACCATAGTTTTCATACTCTTCAATCTCCCAACTCGCTTCACTAGGTGATATTAAACACAAGTCTAACAGCTTAAGCTTCTCTACATAAGTTCCATCACAACACTGTAAATAGCCACCGGAACTAGGTCTAGCAAAATGGGTATATCATCATCTGATTGCGGCAAGAACAGGCCACGGGGACTAGGCCGACTACCATCGACGCTTCAGCCCCGAAAATGAAGATCTAAAATACATTTACGGTCGAGAGAAAAAGCCCTGGCATTTTCCAGAGTGCCAAGCTGATTTGCAACGCCGGAGAAGCTATGAGAAGATGGTCCCTCCAGGGGTCAGGGAAATGATAGGGGAGATGGAACGGCAGTAGTTTATCCAATTCCTGATAACAAGCAGATGTTGCAGTCTGCCGAATAATGAACGGGTTGGAAGGTGACTATGCTGAGATTGTTTCTGACTCGAGAGGAGACGTGTTTAGAAGATAGGAATACAAAGAAGGGTACCGTAACTCAGACATTTATAGTACTTTTTTTCTCATGTTGCTTCTGGCTTTATTGTCGATCATCAACAAAGCAATTGGCTCTCAGAGCCCATCTACCCGTGTCATATCTATAAGATGTTGGATTCCTCGTGTTACGTAAAATACTTCAATTTGAAATTCAACTTGTCAAATCGTGATAACTTTTATGGCCAGGTTGTTGTAATAAAACAATTCTGCGTCAGTATCGATGTAGGATCTCTGTCTGTGCGCTACTACATTTAACTCTTAGTTCATTTGTAACTTGATTCGATGTTTAATGTAGTAACGTCTGTTTCTTGTCTTGGTCGCGGGGGTTCAGTAAAACACAAGGCTAAAACATCATTTGGATAACATTGTCGAGTTGGGAAATTGGCAACTACCTTATCAATCACCCAACCTTCATCATACCAAGTATGATTCCTGTAAATAGATGTTGTCTCTCCTACCTCCAGAGATCTTCAGTTCATTGTATTAACTAAATATCTCTGAAGGCTATTTTCATCGCTCCTCCCATCAAGTCCACAGCTTTACATCTAAAGCCCCGTTCACCTGCTCCTGTGCTCGAATACCACTCTTTCTTCCTCTCCAACAGCCCGAAATCCCTCTCGATCTATACCCTCACAACACAGGTACCCTTGAGTAAGGTTCAAGGATAAGGTTGTCAGGAAAAGGTCAAAGGACAAAGGTTGAGGATAAGGTTCTCGGGATAAGGCTCAATGAGAAGATTTCCTGGAAAACTCTGACAATAAGAGTTATAGGGGCTCACCATGACATAAACTTCAAAAGCCTCAGTTCAAATCTAGCACGTAGTTGGTTTTCCTCAAGGAAGCTGGATTTCCCTCAAAGTAGTTCTCCAGCTTCTCAATCTTGAATCTCCATAGTCCGATATTCTCAAACATCTTACTATTTGTCTTGGCCTCTCGTCCCTCAGTTCCAAACTACTGGTACCTCGCCAGCTCAGTCAAACACCCATATCCATTCTCAGGCTTATCCTCTTGTAGTTATCCGCCTAGTCTTTACTAGGTCACTTACAGCAGACGGCGATCCCCGTCTCTTCTAACACTCGCCGTAACAAAAACTATCGTTAATTAAAGGTTGGCTCGCCAATCATCCTTCTTCATACATACACTGGGGTAAAGATTCTTTAAGTTTAAACATTGTTTGCTTCAGCTGCCTAAGACAATAGACCTTGTCGTCTTTTATCTACATACGTATATGTAATAGTAAGGTTGTGTATCCCATTCGATGGAAACCCGACCGTACACATTGTGCACTGTTGATTAGCTCACGTGGTGCGGGAGGAATAATTTAATAAGTTGGCGATCCTGTATGAAAGAAATCAATTCACGTATATTTTAGTCTCAAGCTTTACTCACATTATATTATTGATTAGTCGGAGCCACGAGGTTATGGTTTAACTTGGACAGATGGTAAACACAAAAACACCCAGAAAATTTAGCCATTACAACACACGCATGTCTGCCGAAATATATTGTATTTCAGATTGACGAGACGGAATCGAGGATTGATGAGATTCCGGATGAGTTGTGAGCTCGACGACGGGGAAGAATCTAAAATTTAAAGAGCGTCGTACGTTTGGTGACGTTGTTCACATAATGACGGATTACAGTATAAATACAGACAAATTCGATAACAAGTCAATGCATCAGTATACCGCCCGCACTGCTCTTCATAAGATAATTCGGACATCTTAATATCTTACCCCACTATAACAGGAAATTTTTGTTTCCGATCTGGAATCACATGATCATATTTTCTGCCGCCTACATTTGCAGCACGAGCAGAGTATTCTTGAACAACCTGAAGTTTTGAAACTTCCATCCGCTTATTGTTCACGGAAGAGAAATAATGCGTCGTGCAAACAAGCAGCTCGAACTAGAAAATTTGCAAATGATATATAGAGTATGAGCATTGCTAAGGTCAAAATATTCATTTAAACCCCAAAAAATATACTCGCCATGTGTCAAGGCTCTATGGTTTAGTTTCCTTGTTACATAATAAATACTTAAAAGAAGTAAGATACTTTTTTGGTGCACTTTCATTCCTTGTTCACATTAGTTTGAGAGTCGTTCTTCGCGAACATGTATACATTTGTCTACTTTATATACAATGCTGCGCGATTGGCTGATACAATTTATTTCGAACTCGAAGTGCTTTTATTTAAATTTTTCTTCTGGCTATTACCACAAAGACTTTCAAATCTACTTTCTCAAGTGGGAATACTAAAAAAATCGGTCCATCATGAGAGCTTCAACATAGCGATGAAATGCAATGGATTTTATAACCTACTCTGTAAATCTTTTTAATAGGTATTCTTCAGAAACTTTGAGTCTGAATTGGACTTAGAAGATCAAGTTAGATCTAACGAGGACCTGGAGTCTTGCAAAAAATTGATATGTATCTCTAAGTTCTGATAGTCCATCGTTTAATAATATGTTGGATTTAGCAGGAAGTCAAAAAATGTATGAATCAAATCATGTCAAGTTATCAACTCAAAATTCTTCTACAATTGCATCCTAATCTACAATCAAAAATGTCCCTCTGAGTGCGAGGAATTTTTGGAAAATGTTGGCAAAGGTTTCTAAGCTCGAGCGATTTAGCTAAGAATTTGCTCAAACAGTTTCATCATGTAAATTTCGAGTTTTTCTAATCTTTTAAGTAAGCCTCAGAATTTTTTATTTACACAACTTGTCAAGCCATTCCTAAGCATTATGCACATGATTACAAGGTCGACAATTACAGAAAAGTTTTAACATACTCTCCACAAAACTCGTCATTAATTTCTGTAATAATCCATATTATAGCTACCCATTTCACCATTATTATTGAGAGGATCCATCAATATCGTATTTAAATCTCTATTAGTTACCTTGGATATATTCTATCCAGGCAGCAATTTAGATTCTTGGGTAATTGTCTTTTCATGCAATTGTATTCAGAGACAGTATCACTGAAGTGGTAACATTTTCGGGGGACCACGTGAACCATTTTCCGGAGTTAGAGACCGGATCATAAGTGGGCCAGGTGTAGGCGTTGAGTCGGACCTCTCACGATATACACGTTTATTTCTGGAAAGGTGAGCAGTCTGGGTTCGAGCTCGGGCCTGCTCTTCTAATGAAAAGACAGATAGTTCAGGTCTTGACTTAATTTCTTCGATATTTTTCCCAGTGTTTACAATATCCCCTTCCAAATCTACTGTGTTTTTTATTTTTAAGAATATTACTGGCGCTGCTATTAAAAGAGAGCCAGCCAGTAAGCCAAAATTTGAAGCATACTCATTCATGTATGAAATTTTATGTGAGTCGAGAGCCCAAGTGACAGCTGAGCCGGCAGATTGAAGTCCCTTATAGAATCCAATATAATTTGCAGTCCGTCGGCCAGAGTTTGACAAGGCGCCCATATACCTGGATCATGTCAGAAAAATATCTTGCGCCAAGTGGGAAGAATTAAACATGCCAGTAAACAGAAGCTTGCCATAAGGCATCGTATGCTCCATAGCACATATATAGTACCAAGGGCCCTCCATATTCAGCCTCTTTCCAATCAACTGGAATAGCGGACGGATTATTGACCGTTTCGCGAGTGTAAGTCCTTTGCCAGATATAACCTACCCCCCATATAATGCAAGTCAAACTAAAAATAAAGATAAGGTTAATGCGACCTCGCCATACGCGGGTTTTATAATTCGAGTCCAGACAATAGCCGAGAAAAAATGCTGCCAGGATCTGAGAAATATAGTAAAGTAAGCTATTTAAAGCCTTTGTTCTCGTACTAAAATGTGCTGCGTTGATTCCATTCTGCTGATATGTGTAGAACCAGTTTGAGGACCAAAACATTGGAAAAAGTAAAATTACTGTCCACTCAAACTTGATTGTTTCAAGCATGCCGAGTAGTTCGGACTTCGCTGTAGGATTTTGCATCAAAATAATTCGAGAAAAGTCATCACGAATAACATCCTTGGCATTACACAAGCACAAAGCTAAGAGAGAGCCTAGAAACATCAAGACCATGAAAACAATATATGTGTTTTGCCCAATCGTTTTATTTTCAGTAACATGAACGTTTTGCGCAAGGGGAATCTATATCATGTTAGAAAATATTTGGCCATCACTGGATGAAATCAATAATTGTTAATTTTCTTGATATTTTGAACTATCTTTGCTTACCAGACTTCCAAGCACCGCTCCCATATTGAAAATCGCCCAGAACCACGCAAAAAAATGGCCTTTCTGATTTTCGCGCGGATACGAAACCATAATAGTTCCCTGAGCTGTCCATAAAAGTCCAGCGCAAAAACCGAGAAATGCGCCACTAAATATGTTGAAAAAATAGATTTTGCAGTTTCCATCAACCACAGTGGATGCAAAAAGAGAAGCTGTGTAAAGGCCATATCCAAGACCTCCGATTGCTAGGGTAATTTTAACCCCGAGATAGTTAACAATTGGGCCAGAGAAAAAGCCAAAGAAAGCAAATGTCGAGTAGAGGGCCACGTTCTCAGCACGGATTCTCGTTAGCATAAGTAGTGATAATAGACTCTAGGATTAATAAGAATGATGAGATCCTACTTACCATTTCGTCTGCTAATTTTGTATCAACTTTGCCTCCACCTCCGAGACCCCCAAGCGCATTGAACATTCCTGGGCAAAGAAAACAAACGAGCGAAACCATAAACAGTTGCACGGGAGGACTTGCAAAGCATGGTAATTTAAAAGGACCAATATAGAGATCGCGATATATAAAGCGACTCTTTCCACTGAGATCAACAAGTGCGTTCTCGAATTCGGCAGTCTGATAGGGTAGGGTCGTCTCATCAACTTTTGGCACTTTATCTTCAACTGAATCAAGACGTTGTGCACTACAAAATTTGACCTGAGTCATTGTAGTGATTATTTTGATGAGGGGGGATGAAATGTGGTGCACACTTCCCGAGTGCGGGAAGGGAATAAACCAATGTGTTAAAGACAACAGGATCAAGATACTTGATACGATGGCCAATGGTAGGTAGAGTTTGGCGTTTTGAAGGAGAGATAGTCAAGTATAATAAAGAAACTGCAATTTTTTGTGTGCCAAGGGCTAAGTGCACGAGAACACGCGATACCATCAGTAGTAGCAGTTCTTATTCCATCAATGATAAGGCTAATCAAAGACTTGCCTTTCCCTACCCTGTATCAAAATTCCATTGCATAGACTCGATAGAATCAATGGGTTAAATTTGGGTTTTGATTGGCAGATCAAAGAAGAAATGCATGAGGAAAAATTACCACCTGCTCATGGTTGCAGTTGAAGAAGAGTGATAGTCAGGGATGATTTGTTCAAATTCAGTTAATCTTCTACGAGCTACACCTTGTATAGGTACACAAGTAGGCTCGGTGGATGCTGAGATAGTTTTTGGCCTGCACGTGAATGGCATTAAATTTATACATAAACTTCAAATCAATTGCAGCTCTAGATTTCTTTTATAATGTGATTATCGTTCGAAATATCTATCTTCCAGTTACTATAATATCCCGCTCGTTAACTTTAACTAGCATTCTAATATTACTACCTTGGAGCTTTGGTTGCTATCTACTACATGCACAGCTAGTTTTGACTTTGTTGAAATCTGTACTACAATAATCTATTAGCTAGTGTTGACAAGCTATAGCTTCAATCGATCACACTGCCGTATCGCACGCCGTCTACCGTTATGAAACCTGCATCCATATCAATAGCTTAGCATCTTACTTCATTGGTGCAAGTGCCTGAAACTCATCGTCATCTTTGTTGCGAATTAAAGTCTATGGCGGATTGCATTGTGCGGCAAACTGCTTCAAGCCCACTAAATTATACTTTGGACGAATTTGATCACGGTTAATGCCTGTCCCTCAAGAATCCACCAAAATCCTTAAGATTGCACTTCTCGGAAAAATAGAATTTGAGCACTAATATCCCATTCACTTTGTACGCTCAACTTGGCATGTATAGCGGCATAGGTGTTAACTATTTTTCGCACTTATTGATGTGAACGTGTGACAACGCGATATGGACAGAATTGACTGATCCTCATGGCTATTTATGTTAAACCAATTGCTAAGTACACATGGTTTTTAAAACAAAAATAATAGAGAAAGGCCAAGCAGTTGAAGTGATCAAATTAAATAATTACCTTCCTCTTAAAGACCGTTGCATCAATGCAAACTGCAGGTCGATTGCCGATGCAATCAACCGAGATGATCTGCGAAGTTAAATATTTACAGCATGTGCAGATATACTGAATATTTTGATGGAAAATTATCAGCCAACTTTGGTTGTAAAAAAGAGACATTTAGTTACAGCTTCTTATTTCTCGTTAAAATCTCCTTTCCTATGTGTGGTAATAATACATTTAGGATTATTTGTTTCAATCCAATTCATGTGTAGATTATTGGTTAACATTTCGCAGCAACGCTAAAAACACTTGGAGTGTTAGGAATGATTTGAATCTAATTCAAGGTAACAAATGTGTATTTTGATGTGAGATTCTGTTTTCTCATTTACATATAGTTGAGTTTATTGTGACGAGTTACTCTTGTAGCAGCATAATAGTGTAATTAGAATTCTCTAAATCTAAGCTAAATTTGTTATCAGAACAGACTAGATGCAGTCTATTGATTTCATAATTTATTATTTAACTTAACACTACTATGCAGGATATAGATTACTAGGCATTCAACTTACAGAATATTACAGATATTGTTTTTTCTTCCAACTTGACAGCCTCGTGGTATTAACTAAAACTTACTGCCAGAAACCAGCGGCTGCAAGTCTTGAGTGCCCAAGGTACGCCCCTCTGATTGATTTTTTTGTTAGATTTGAAACATATGGGTTACAGGAATCAAGAACCTACTAGCAAACCATAAAACTATGCTAGGGAGCTTTAGGGGGCCCTATAATAACAATGAGATTTTGTTAAATAAAACGGATGGTATCATACCAATCTCCCGGTTGCTTTAGAGCGGCCAAGGGTAACACCTAAAATAGCTGGTGAAGTTAGTGAGTGTTATAACAGCAATCAAATTAGTTACGAGTGGCTTACGTGGACCCGGACGGTAGGGGATAGGTTGCTTTCCATTTATAACCAAATTGAGGTTCTTGTAGAGTGCAGCGGCTTGTTTTTCTAAGTTTCATAAGTGAGAAGCTTTTCAGGTCCCTCTATGATAAAGTATTTACCGGCATAAACATATTGAGGAGGTTCGATATCAATTACATCGCCAGCCGCCCACACATTTTTTGTTTCTTTAACTCTTAAATACTCATCAACCTTAATCTCTTTTGTCTCATTCAGATAGATATCAGGAACAAAATCAGAATTCACAACCGAGCCAACAGACGGCAAATACAGATCCACCGTTTTTGTCTCGCCATTTGATAAGGTCAACGTTGTTTGCCCGGCTTCATTTGTTTTAGCGTCGGTGACCTTAGTTTCGAATACAATCTTAACTTGGAGTTTTCGGAGCTCGTTTTCGGCATTTGTGGCCATGGCGGGAGTACCAGCTGAAAGAAGTTTAGATCCAGCTGTAATCTATCAATGAAATTTAGAGATAGCTCAGAAATTGGTATAAGAATGTACCAGATAAATTTCTTTAGTCTTTCCAAATTCATAACCCAACTCGCCAGCACTCTCAACACCCGTGGGTCCACCGCCGCTAATAACTATAGATTTAGCGTTGATGACTTTTTCTTGATATTTGTGTAAGATATCTCTTGTAGCTTCATATCCCAAAGCTGAGCTATACCATGGTAGTTCTGTGCTTCCTTTTGCTCGGCTGCCGGTCGCAATAACTAGTATATCATAGTGTAGCTGTGTTTCATCCTTGGATGTTGCAAGGATAATAGACTGAGAGGAAGTATCGAGGGCTTTTGCTGTTCCGTGTACAAACTCTACTTTATCTCCATACTTGCTTAAGGCGGCTGGTATCTCTGCGAAGAGCTATACGAAAGTTATCTTTTAATAACGACAAATTAAGACACTTTAGGAGAAATTATTCGTACCTTGTCGTCCGAAAACTGGCCAGGAACGATAGCTGATGGCGATATTTTAAATTCTGAATTTTATGGATTAAGATCATATACTAACCCCGGACTGAGGCCATGTTCCAGTAATGATGTGTGGTAGGAGACACAACTACAACCTTATAATCATGTTGTTGGTCATTCAGCGTGTACTTTAGGAGACTAAGCCTCACGATTAGTTGTGCTTCAAATGACAAGCTTAGTTTTGTGGATTTGTTCTCACCGATGGGTTATTGCCAAACCAACGTAACTGGCACCAACAATGACTATGTTCTTCGACATGGATGAAATTATTTTTAAAGCGCAACTTATGGACGAAAGTCGTTGATGTTGTATGAGCTTTAGTCTCGATCTCTGAGTCGCAAGTAGACATTTGGCGATCGGTCGGACGAAATCAACAGCCGTTAAAACAACACTGACCTATTAAATGAAGTTGAGAAGAAGCGAAGAATGATCAATTTAAACCTTAGCTGGCTATTCTAAATTCGAGTTAAATCGAAGCTGATACCGTGATTTCATTTTGAAGTTGTGTTTTGTAAGACAAACTTGGTCGACTAAGGCAATTGTGAATGCCGAGCCATAATTCCAATATTTGAACCATGCCATTAAGTAGAGAAGCTATCTGCCTCTACGGCATTCGATAATTAGAATGAAGCAGTGGAAGACTGCTCAAGACAGACAAGCAGTGCCCACTATGAACCCTTAGCTCACAAAGTAAAGTCTACGGAATAATGACTGAGTCTTACACTAACGATGAAGGCTTCCAATGTTCAGGATTCTAGAGAATTTTTCCATTTCAAATGTGGCACAACAAGTTGAGCAGGGTTTCTTTGCAGCGAAAATACCGTGTCAAGACTTTGATTAATTCTAATACGACATGCAATTTTCTTGGAGACCAGACAAAAGATCGCATCCAAAATATGATATCAATGGGAAAGAACAGACAACACCCGTCGACTATGTCCTCTATAAACCTCCATCTCTCACAGTAGGGTATTCATAGCCTTGATGAGTAACACTTTCGTCCTCACTCCAGCAAGGATTCCCAATCGCTTTCGCGGTCTATACCATCTTCACCTCTCAACGTAATCCTCTAGCACCATCATCATGAAGCTAATCACGATCGAATCTGATGTTAGGGTAGAAGCCCTACTCATCATCTATCCTTGATTATGGAGGAGAAACCATCTCACAAGTTTCCGAAGCATACCTAGCATCTAATACGGCGATAGTGGATTGAATTAAGTTGGCCTACCATGTTACATAGAAGAGAGATGTACGCACCTGATATGATTCTGATGTTTAGGCATCGCCTGGCTAGGGCTGCTGATATTTTGAGAAATTTTTCCTCGCACGTAGCTTTCATCGCCACTTCATTTTTTCGGGGTTAGAAGATTGGTAGAAAATGTGGTTAAATTCTACGAGAAAATAATGGAGTATTTAGCTAACACATTGGGAAATATATTAGAGATGGTGCATCATGTAAGCCGGTCTCCTGATTAGATTTGGGTTAGCTTGGACGTCTAAACCACTTGAAGCTGGTGATCGCTGGCCCATGTCAAGCCAAGCCGCACAACATTTCTCGCAGTGCTGGCATACATGGAAAACGAAGGCCAGCTTGGATAACCAAAGGTTTTGAAATTCCCTTTGGTGGGTAGTCACGGAGGAGGGTCGACTGTTTACATAAGCAAATATAACTCAGTGGTATTTGCGAATGAAATCCAGCGTATGAGTGTTTCTAATGTCAAAAGAGACATACATCATGTATACATAGCACCGGTCGCTTGTCATAGCTATAATTGAGGTTTCTTGTGCTCGTTAGTAAGAATAAAATGATAAATGTTGACTGTGAAACTCACGGATGTCTCGTGGCTCCGACTACGACAATCTATATGTGTGTAGAGCTAGAGACTAGGCGTAAACATGTATTTCTATTAAAGTTTTAGCTCCTCAAATACATATAATTTTCTATACTCAAGATAATGTAACGATAAATAATACATGGCAAAGTAAATTATCAGAATACAGTTGGGGAGGATTGGGGCGCTTGGCCACCCGGATTATAGCCAAAGAATGCAAGGGGTTCCATCTCGATAGGACTGTGCTTTCGAAAAAAACCCTTGACTTCGAACTCAAAGCATGTCTGTAATCTGTATCACAGAATGCCCGTCAAGTCGTAAGGTCTGAATGTAAGCTTATTTTTAATTTTCTATTCAAAAACTCCTCGATCCTACAAATACGCTAATGCAAGTTTTCCGAAGAACACGACCACTATATGTCAGGGCATCACCTGACCTAGATACACACCATCCCCCTCTCTTCCAAAGATCGACTAACTATCCACTTGATTCCATGGCTTCAATAAATCTTCAACCCTACGTCTATTTTTCTCTTGCAAATTTTTACTTCCATACCATAAAGACCTCACTGGGTGTCTATCGCGAACGTATGCTGGGAAAAGTTGCTGACCGTGATACTCATTTTTCAGGGTTATTCCACTAGGAGTAAGAAGAATATATCCATTATGGTGAGTGGCGTCTGCTATGGCAAATGGCCACCATAAAAAGGTTCACTCTTGTGTTACCTGTTCCGTTGACGCAAAACCCAATCACCCTTTCCGAAGATTCGTAGCTGCGCTTTTTTTTCCTGTAGATACGAGCGGATCTCATCTCTCGCTGCTTTACCATTCGCCACGTTAAGGCGAGCATTTTGTATCCTGGGGTTTTGTATTTTAACCAAATCTGTTGCGAGTGCGGCTTCTTCGGAAAGCGTCAATTCGGGAACGTAGGGGCCTGGAGATTCTTCTCTAGATATACCCAGTGCAAGGAAAATTGGAGCAAATCCTGACGAGTTAGGATACCTGTTGTATGAGTTCAAAGCTTGCTGTCGAACTCGAGTGTGCCATGGGTAGCGTCGGGAGGGTTGTTGGGTGACTTGGGTAATATCTGAGGAGGTTGGCAAGAGTCAAGGGTATGAATTCGCGACTCTAACTATAACTTATGACGAGGGACGGGGGAAACTGGGAAAGGAAAAAAGGCCAATGAAAGACGGAAGGCTAGACATGGCCCTCTACTGCAGCACTGTCTAATCCTGATATACATCATAGTAACCAGAGCAGCCTAGGGCTCTTAGGGTACACCTTCTACTCAATTACTCAACTAGTAACCTATGGCAACTATTGTATCCCAATAACATCTATCCTCAGTTCCTGACAATGATCAATAGTGGTACACAGGTACGCTGATTGATTGTTATGACGTACTGGACCGGTGTTATCCATTCCCCATCTTGTGAATAGTACAGGTGCTTGTACAGGTCGGAAAGCGTCTTGAGAGTGGATATCAATTGGTTGCGTCACAAGCTGACGTCTTGTGCAAGTTTTATATGCTTCTTGTGCAGCCAAAATAACGTCTGCATGCCAAAGATATTGTCGAGACTCTCTGATCAGCGTGCCAAATGAACAGTGTGCCTGATCTTCATGTAATTTGATGAGAGATGTCACGAGCTTCCCATAGTGGCGGATCTTTAAAAACTTATTGTATAGCACGCGGTAAGTAGATCCATTATGGGCATTAAAATTCTGTTGAACCCAAGATTCAGGTAGATTAATTGGCAAGGTTATATTATGATGTAAACACTCTGCTATGAAGTGTAAATCTATCCAAGTTAATCTTTCTGCATCCGGCAAGTTTCTTGAGGAGCTTTCCGAGGGGTTGTCGCGAACAGGATCATATCTAGAAATTGGGAAAGTTGTGACTTCGGGTGGTGGCCGAGAAAGCCAGTCGGCGAGATGATTGGATTTTCCTCGTCTATAAATAATCGTGGGATCAAAATGTTCAAGGATATCCACAAAACGTTGCATTCTTCGAGGTAATTTGGATTTTTTTATTCCAGCCAGACTTTTGTGGTCAGTTCCGATGATGATTTCACAGCCTTCGATCCAGTCTTGCCAAGTTTGTAGAGATTGAAAAATACCCAATGCTTCGCGCTCTTGCGAAAAGTAGCGTTGCTGAGTAGGGGTAAGCTTGCGACTAGTCTAAACGACGGGATGTAAATATGCGCCATCCATAGATGGATGCAGTATTGTCGTACGTTTGATTGGCGTAAATGGAGCATCGGGTTGTAGAAGGATACAGCCAGAATATTTATCCGACGAGTCAACATCAAGAAATACAGGCAATTGTGGGTCCATCGACCTTAGTACGGGAGTTGTAATCAGGGAATCTCGTTTGGCTCTCCAGGCAGCAATTTGCTCATCATTCAGTGTTACAGGTACATTTTTGCCTTCTAGGAAGTTTTGGCTGTAAAGTGGTTCAGCTAACCTGCTGAAGAGTCTGACATAATCACGAAAATAATTACAAGAATTTAGGAATGCACGGACTTCTGTAACAGTTCGTGACATTGGTCAGTCGAGAATTGCTTGCATTTTTGAAGGATCGACTTGAATACCCTGCCTATCAACTATATGGCCAAGAAATCTTGTCTGAGTGACAAACCATGCACATTTCCGGGGTTTAAGCCTGTAACCGCAGGACTTGAGCCGTTTGATCACCAAGAAAGCATTCTGCATGGCTTTCTGTACCGTATCACCCCAAGTTATCACATCATCTATCATATTAGATGTGATGTCACGGACAGGCTGAAGACATTCGTCCATTGCTTTTTGGAAAGTAGCGGGGGCTTTGGTCAATCTGAATGGCATGACCTTGAATAGATATTGTCTCTGAGGAGTAACGAATGAGCAGATTTTCTTGGCGTTCTCTGTAAGTTCGATTTGATAAAATCCTGATTTAAGGTCAAGTTTAATGAAAAACTTATGACCAGCAGCTTTTCGGATTTCATCTTGTACTACAAGTAGTGGATAGGCTGATTTTTCTGAGCGTGAATTTATTTGAGAAAGATCTATTACCATTTGCCCCTTTGACCTGCCATCCATTGGGACTAAAATTGCTCAACTTGAAAAAGGACTTTGACTACTGACCAATACACCTTATATTCCTGCATTGACAAAATTCCTTTGTGATTAGGGTATTTTTAGGAGAGTAGCAGCCAGGTGAGCACTTCAGGTTTGAGGTATCTTCAGCAAGAACAATGTAATATTTTATGCCAGTTGCTCATGTTGCCCTTCCCCTAATCTGTTATGAATGAAAAAGGGATGGGATTTTAGACTTAAGAATATTGATGTTTTTATCTATTTTTAATTTGTCATTCGGGGAAACTTCTGGGGGTGATCGGATTACAAGTTCTTGTGGGAGTGATGCCGAATTGAAAGTTTCATTTGAGCTAGCTGGAATCTTAGAATTTACCCATGCTGCCACATGATTTAAATTTAGTTTATCCTTTGGGATTGGAATAAGTGGAGTACCAACTACTTTGGTTAGCTTCACACAGTCTGAGTCGGGAACGTAAAGGGCCCCTAGTTGTTGTAGAATTGTTCGCCCGATTGTCAACGGTGCGGGAAATGTACCTTCAGGAACCACTCCACAAGAAATTTCGATTGGCGAGTTACTGGCAAATCCGACTGATACTTTGCATTCATAATTAACCACTAGTCCATATTCTCCTGCGACCCCTCGAAGTTGTACAGATGTCTCCAATAAAAATATATTTCCAGAAGAGAGATTGGAAGCGATCGACGAAGTAACATAACAACTTGCAGTTCCTCCGTCGAAAAGTACGAAACTCTTAACCCCATTTATACAACAGGTAAAATTTCGATGATATTTTTTAGCACCCTCTCTAGAAACAAATAAAAATTCTGATTAACCATTGCTAGGATTAAATGATAGATTGAAACAAGTTTTGGAATAAGAAACGAATTTATTAATATTGAGAAATTTTTCTTAGGGGGTTGCGGCGTTGACAATAAAGACACCGCTGCCTAGTCCTCATTTATGATAATCATCATTATTATTATTTTCATGAAACTTGGGTTCTATTTCCTGACAGTCTTCCAAGTCCCATATTTCGGGATTAATTTCATAGTCAAACTGAACTGTTTGATTGGTGTATACCGACGCAAATGTTTTCGATAGTCAAGGAGGTGGCGGCGGTTTAGGGCCATGGGAATGAGTATTCTGACTTCGAGAATTCACTGGGTTGTAGTTTTGTTGTTTGTGAAATTGACCACTTGTCTAAGTTACGACCCTTTCCTTAGAATAACCAGAGTTATCTTGATCTGCGTGCGACTGATAAGTGTTCCCTTGGCGCTCTACCGACTTATATCTGTTACGGCAATCTACGCTATAGTGTCCTAGCTTACCGCACTTGTAAAAAACAGCTTCAGGTGTGGCGGCATTTACAGAAGCTATGGGTTTATCCGTATTGAATTTGTCTTGAGACGATGATGTATTTGCGGGAGTTCTCTCAGTCCAGAGGGGGTCTTGGTAGACAAGCAGAGATTCTCTATCCACCGGTCTACATGCAAGCTTTGCCATCCAACATTGATGCTTTTAGGCGATTATCCAAGCATTTTATAAAGCGCTATTTAATAGGTACGCCTTGTCTTGTTGGACTAAAGTATTCCAAACCATACCCGCATGCGTCTGAAGTATATATTCAATCGTGTCTTCTACCTCTTTATCGGCACGTTCTCGAGTTGGCATAAGATGAAATGCGTCTTCAAAACGTTTTAGGAAATTTGCCGTTGATTCATTAAAGGGTGGACCCGCTCGAAAAGTTACAAATGCATCGACAGGGCTACGCAAATTATCCGTAGGGCAAAGATATGCAAAATACCTCTGACAGCCATTGGCCAGGTAAGACATTGCGTTCGACAAAAAGTATTCACTTGTCTGAAATCATATCGAAATAGATGACACACTCGCCGAAGCCAGAGATCGTAGAGGCTCCCATCTTCAATCAGCGCAGTTTGAATTTTCTGTAGGTTTAAAAGATTTTCAATATCACTTGCTCTGACTAGAGGCTTTAGTCCGGAGCGAAATGCCTTATGTGAGTTGCGACTATCCGAATTTCCGTGATCCAAATCTGTTTCATCAATTATTTTGCACCAGTGCTTCCACAACCATTGAATATATTCGCTTTTCGGGCTAAAAGAGGCCCAGCTGCTTCTATTTTCTCTATCGATACAAGGATCGGATAGGTTAAGTAAATTTGTCTTGCCTCGTGGCCCAACAAGCTGGGGTGAGCTTCAAAGAGTCCCCTCACCGGACTCTATGTAGACTTAAGTCCAGGGATGAGAAGTGGGTCTCTTCGAGGAAAATTAGTTGGACCCTTGGGCTTGTCAATAAATTTAGAGACTTTAGGTTCAGTATCGCTCAGTGCACAATTTTTCACAGCCACGCTGGAGTCTTTATTGAGTTTTACCGATGCATAAACTTCCGAAAATCTAACGCTTAGTTCTGCTAACTCAGGGTCATGACTTGTTTGCTTGACATAGAGCTTGCGAATTTCAGCGAGGATATCTGCAAGTGTAGGTTCGTTTATTGACCTCTCTTCGAGGTCAGAGTTCTCGTCGCTGGATGAGGCCGAGCGGGTTGTTGGTGGCGCCATTTTTTGAAAGTGAATTTGGGAAAATTAGTAGTCGAGTTACCTGCGCAGATAGCTCTTTGTGCTTTCGGAATAACACCCTCGACTATGTTTGACATATCGCGCGGTGAAATGGGCGCAATATTCGTGGAACTAATGTAGAAGTTATATAAAAGAGTGTCATGTTCGGATTGTAACTAAAAGAATGGGAGAAGTGCGCTACAAGTACAAGCGTAAGCGACACAGAGCTTAAGCCACAGCATAAACGAGTGTGGCGCCGTCTAAGCATAGAAAACCCCCAATAACCTCCTTGTGCCCACGCCATACAGCCGCTCATATATCCAATAGGTAGCCTGAAGCGCTACCATATTATCTGTTCCAACCTCGTAAATACACTCAAGGTCGTGTCGGGAACCTAGACAAAATGGAGGGCCCGTACGTCAACAACACTCCGTGTCACCATTCCCAACAGCCTTCGAACTCAAAGCACGTCTGTAATCTGTATCACAGAATGCCCGTCAAGTCGTAAGGTCTGAATGTAAGCTTATTTTTAATTTTCTATTCAAAAACTCCTCAATAGTTACGGCCTCGCCTCAACCTGGCCCTAGGTACAATAGCGTGAGTACTTGTGGTACGTGCACGTTAGCATATAGTCCCTGTCCGCCTCTAGATACTCTCTCCTCATAGCCAATCTACTTCTTTCATCTCTACATTAGAGCTGCCTTCCTGCCACTTCCTCTTCTCGTGATTTCAATCCTACAAATACGCTAATGCAAGTTTGTCGAAGAACACGACCACTATATGTCAGGGCATCACCTGACCTAGTTAGACAGGACCTTAAAACTCAGCGGCTCGCTTAGACTGGTACACACGAAGATGCCTTAATGACTTGCTCCTGTGGCGAAGAAAAAAGTACGGACCACTTCTTTCACTGCAGCATAGGAAGAAGCCGGGCTCGCCTTAGTGGTGGACCTCGGCACTCCAGCCCCGGTATTAAATGGGTCCTCAGCACGCCTAAAGGGGCACACGCCTTCGGAAAATGGGTGGAGCTGACAAAGTTCTACGACGAAGTCCAACGGGCACATTAGATATTTCCCTTGAGATTTTTGGTACTGCGTGAATAGTCTGCGGGAGTAATTTCAAACTACTTGTAAATAAAAAGTAAAATCCCGGGTAGAGGGAAATTTGCTACATTTAAATTGGAAAGCAGAGTAGCGGACAGCAGGTCGGACTCTTTTGTAGTTTCTGGGTGCTGTAGGGCGCGCTAGAGCGTCGGGTAGTTCTGTAGGGACTGGGCCGTCCAGCACGTGACTAAGGTCACGAGCTGTAGACAGGCACGACGTTAAATTTAATCAAATCAAATCAAATCAAATCAAATCGAGTCACCTAAAGCATAGATCCCACATCATATTATCCACAACACTTCTTACAAGAACTTCCATCTGGTGCAATGGCCCCAGCCGTTGCATCGTCATCGACAACGCCCCCGAATCCAGGGGGGCAACTCCACCCAAGCCTGCTAGGCATTGTTAATGCAATGCAAAAAGCAGAACAAGAAAGAAAAGAAAGATTGGGCATAGCCCAGGAATTTCTTGAACTAATCGACTCCTGGGCCAAGAGCAAAGGAGAGAAGCAAGCAGCAGCAGTCGTCGCGACTCTGATGAACAAGATCACGCCTGTCATCACTGCCTTTGCAGTAGATCAGGCAGAAGTAATCAATAGTCCAAGTAAGAACTCCCCCGCCATGGCAAGCACTCCCAAACCAGTCGCGCCTAGGAACCACATTGTTGTTGAGAACAACAGCCACGGCCTACCTCCAAAGCCGCAAGAAAAAAGCTCGCCTTGGGTTACAGTTGCTCGCAAAGCAGCCAAGTTACCAACACCGCCCAGTGCGCAAGTTCCGAGAAGACCGGCTCCGATAAGCCGCCCTAAGGCACAGACAACACCCAAGGAAGACAAACGCCTGTTCCTTCGTTTGGGTAGAGATCACCACTGGCACAAATTATCACCAGTCACAATCAAAAAGATAATAACCGACAAGGCTGGGATAGCAGCCTCAGCTATCACCTCGATGTACCCAGTCAGGTCGGGGATCGCTCTCGAATGTGCGTCAGACGCATTGAGAGACACAATCATCAGAAGTGCACCTTCCCTACAGGAAGACAACACAGTGATTGAGGCAGCCTCAAAATGGACATCTCTGATGGTACCACATGTGCCATTGTATATCAGGACACTTGAAGGCAGCATGCCAGTCACCATTGAAATGGTGAAGAACGAGTGCCAGGCAGTATGTGGCGCCACACCAATCCAGGTACGGCCCACAGAAACAAAGCTTGGTCAGTACTCAACGAGCTGGATCATTCATTTCCAACAAAAACCAGCAAACACAAAGTTCCGTCTTTTTGACGAGAGCGGACCGGCAATTCCTTTCTCGCGCCGACGACCAATCGAGCAATGCCAACGTTGCTGGGGATTCCACACTACGCGTTCCTGTACCCGGAGCCAACGATGTGGACGATGTGGGGGAACCCATGAGACATCAGATTGCCAGGCCAAGGTGCCAAAGTGCTCAAATTGTGCCGGACCTCACCACTCACATGAGAGTAGCTGCATGGCCCGACCAAGAAGACAAAACGGGATAATTCTGCCCCGTACCCCTGCAGAACTACACATCATCAGAGAACGCGGGCATCGTGATTATCACGCTGCTCTAGCGTATTCGGAAAGGAAGGGCAAGGCAGTTGAAACTGTCATTACCCCGGATTCAACAATGACGTGTTAATGTTAGGGAACCCCTCAACAAAAGCACCAAAAGATAAACATAACACTCTCCACTTTCACCAAGTGAATGTAGGAAGGGGTGGGGAGAATACAGATATAGCATTGCAGCAGGCATGGGACGCCGGTGCACATGTAGTCATGGTACAGGAACCATGGACAAGGAAGAAAGAGGGGGGTTTTATCACCAAAAGTCACCCTGGATACAATAGCCACATACCGTTTGGAGGAACAGACGTCCGGCCCCGCGTGAGTACTTTCACACGCAAAGGCATTGGTGCGACTCAATTTTTTCCGCCGTCATCAGGCCCGACATCTGACTACTGTTTTGTAAAGATGGGCAGCCTGACTTTCGTCAACGTGTATCGTGCCCCGGGCACCAGTGGAACCTTGGAGCCCTTACTTCGGTGGGTAGTCAGAGGACTCGTGGTTGTTGGTGGCGATTTCAATTCTGTGTCACAGCATTGGCAGCCGCAAACGACAATTCAGTACGGCAATGGAGGCCAGATCATGGAATGGGCAACAGCTCACGATATGGATCTAGTTAGCATTGTCGGAGAGCCAACGCATAGGGATGGGAACGTGCTGGACTTAACGTGGAGCAACACAGCTGCAACAGCATCAGTCTCCAAGCAGTATCACTGTACCTCAGATCACTCGACCATCGAGGGTACAGTCTTAAACCCTACAGTATCAGACCTATCTGGAATTGTAAGGAACACTCGTGTCAGCGATGAGAACCTAAAGGAATTCAACCGATGTGTCAGCCAATGGACCAAAGCTGCCCCTCTGGACAGTGTCATGGACATCGAAAAATTCACAGCTAATCTCCTGCAGGCTCTTGCAGACGCGCTGAAGATTGCGGGGAAAGTCCCAGCCATTGAAAGCGGAAAAACCGGGCCCTGGTGGAACGATGAATGTCGCATCAAGTGGCAGGATTACAAGGCAGCGAGAGAAAATCCGGACCTTGTAAGACAGGCGCGTAAAAGCTTTAGAGCCGTTGTGCGAAAAGCCAAGCGAGAGTACTGGAAGAGGCAAGTGGAGGCAGTTACAACTGACGCACAGGTATTCAAGCTCATGAGATGGGCTAAGCCTCGACCAGCAGCTGAGCCCCCTCCTTTGCAGATTGAGGAAAATCGGTGGCTTTCAGACCCGCGAGAGCGGGCTAGTGCGCTACGAGACATTCTCTTGGCAAGATTTAGCAGCGAGAACGACATCCCAACCTGGGAGAATGGACAGGAGGTGCGCATTCCATGGGATACGGAAATATCACTGGAAGATGTGACAAACGCTACCATCTCTGTCAATGATACGGCACCGGGAGCGGACAAAATAACAGTACGTTTACTGAAATCCTGTTGGTACCACCTTGGGCCTCTGGTCAAGGATCTCTACCAGGCCTGTCTAAAAATCGGCCACTTTCCGACGGCATTTAGGGTGGCAGATGTTGTGCTTCTTCCCAAACCGGGACGAAATCTATCAACTGCCAAGGGCTGGCGACCAATCTCGCTGCTGTCGAGCTTAGGTAAAGGACTTGAGCGTCTAGTTGGCAAGAGAATGGCATGGCTGACGATAAGTCACCAAGTTGTTCATCCGCAATTATTCGGCTCAGTACCAGGACGATCTGCGGTCGACCTTGCATCCTGTGTAATCCATGATGCTGAGGCGGCCATGAGAAGCGGAAAATGTGCGGCTATGGTCACACTAGACATCCAAGGTGCGTTTGATGCAGTCCTTCACAACCGACTACTCCAACGCCTTCGAGAACAAGGCTGGCCACTATCTCTGTGCCGGTTCATTCAGACCTTTCTCTGCCAACGAAAAGTCCAGGTGAAATACCGTGGTGGAACCACAGACGAGAAGATGCTGGAATGTGGAGTACCTCAGGGCTCGCCACTGTCACCACTTCTTTTCATGCTCTATATCGCTGTGCTTTTTAAGGACCATGGACTAACGAGCAGGTTTGGCTATGCTGATGATCTAGCCATCATTAGAGTTGGAAGCACCGCGGCCGAAGCTATCGCAGCAGTCCAAGAAGACCTCGACAGCCTCGTCCTTCTCGCCAGAGAACACAGGATCGAATTTGACCCGGCAAAGTCGGAACTTCTAGTGACCGGAGGAGGTCCTAGGAAGAAAATCAACACAGCCAACCTCTCCATCTTGGTGAAAGATCGCCGGATCGAACCGTCGCCTCATATCCGGTGGTTAGGAGTCTGGCTTGACACTCAGCTGAACTTCAAGCA